CCCCAAAACCCCAAAACCCCAAAACCCCAAAACCCCAAATAATGGAGATGGATGGAAGATGAGGAACTTTAGAAAAATTGAGTTATGAATGGAAGATCATTGATTCTGGACTGAAATCACGAAAGTGGCTATATGGAATTTTGTTAGTTATATAGAGGAGTGGTTGGTCGAGGTAATTGGAAGAAATTTATAAGTCCTTGAGTGACTGTAGATGATTGGAAGGGCAAAAAGTACCTTGGATCATTCCTGTATCTCTTTTGAGACCGGATGTAGACTCCATTACTAATGATTGGCATCTGAGGTTTAGCTCTTGATTTTCCAGAGAGGACCCTTTTGAATATCTTTTGTTGTTTCTTATTTAAAATGATATCTTTGCCTTCAAGAATACAGTTTTGGCCATTTCTTGGGATATTTATTCCTAAAATGAGTGAATATATTGATGAAATCTTCAGAAACTAAGTAGAATAGTATTTACTCTTATTGCGAGGGATTTGAATTCTATTCTGTCGATCTTTAAGAACTCTGTATTCCATTTTAGTAGTGAATGGCTTATCGTTTGAGTTTAAAAACCTAAATTGTGTCTATTAGAATCTCAATAGCTTCAGAATTCAAATCGGTTCTGGGTGATGACTTTGTATTCAAAGGAGCTAATAAGACTTGGTGATTTTAAACCTTCAGGCCTACCTCTTCCAATCTTTGGTATGGTTAATGTGAAAATGGATATTACATCTTCACTTTTGTATTTCACCTTCTTGTTTCTTATAACCTCAGTACTCTCAGACTTTCTCTTCTGTTCCCTTATTGCTGAGAAGCCCTCTCTTAGTATCTTTTATTTGGAAATTTTTCTTTTCGATGTATGATAAATTCCTGAGGTTGACATTGCTTATAAATGAGGAATTGGTAGGAGGCTCAAGATTACCAAAGTATCCCTTCTTGTCTCCTCTATTACTTTCTTTACTAAAATTTCTCTCTTTTATGTAACCTTCAAAGTTCTAGAAGTTATTATGGAGTCAATACCTTGTCGAGAACAGGGACGTTAGAAAAGGACGAGCCGGCCTCTGGAGTATCATCATTTAATACAGGGAGGATTATATTGGCCATCGAGTTATTTTCTTGATATCAGTAGCTATCATCTACGCCACTTAAACCTGGCTTATTACTATTGGGTAGTCCTCTTCTGTTGTTATTTCCTCTTGAGAAGGATACTCAGTTTGAGATGAAGACGTTTCTGGCGATTCGAGGGCCATTTCTTCGAAAATTCACCGGCTGTCTTCTCTTTTTCCGACCCTGAGATGCAAATCTAATCTCAGGTATTTTAATATCGTCACTGGAGTTTTCTTTGAGTCTTCGTGATGAAATTTGCTGCTTCCTCCATTGGATCTTTTGGTTTAGCTCTTTAAGAGCTGCTTGGCTATTTTGACCTAGGATTAGAGTGAGAAATTTTTAAAATTAGACTTACGATACTTCTCTCTTGAAGAGCTCTGCTTGGTGGAGGGGGTATGCTTATTTTCTATATTGCAATTCTTCTTTTTCGAATCTTCTGCTTTTATTCCAAATGAAGTCCCGAATGTAAATAAAGCATCATCTTTCTGGTTACTTTGTTTGGCATTATCTCATCCTTCCATGTTTTCTGGTTGAGGTTTTTCTTTGGCTTTTATCTTTTTATCAAATGGGAATTTTAAACTGGATCCTCAAAGTCGGCTGACCTTCAGGATTTTTGAAAAGTCCTTCATTTGCACTAAAATAGTATGAAGATTATAAATAAATTTTAGAACATTTTATAGTGAATATTCAGAGGACTACGGACTAACTCAAGGCGGTTCTGCCTCATTAATTCAAGCTCATCTTCTGGTGGTCAGAAATCATGAAAATTTGTTTGGGAGTTTATAAGAAGAAATATTCACTTATTTTGCCAAAGACTTCATAAAATTACCTTCTTTTCCGAAAGTCTGCTGCATTGCACTATTTATCTTGGAATATTGGGACATTCTGGATTCTTCTCTTCGTATGGAGAAAGAAGAGCTTCATTTTGAGGAGGCTTGCCTTTTAATTGAAAACAGGCTCTTTTGATTCTGTTTTTCCATTAAGATTATAATTCAATATTTAAATTTGTTTTTGGGGTTTTGGGGTTTTGGGGTTTTGGGGTTTTGGGG